CGCAGACAGTTAGATAGTCTCGTTGTCTGCGCTCTCTCACTCTCTCTCTCTCTCGCCTTCAAACATCAAATGACTGCTAAGGCTTCCATTTCGGTCGGTCGAAAATCGCCGACCGCCGACCGACCACCGACCCAGCCGACCGACAGCCGACCGATTTCGTGCCTTTGCGCATAAAAACACGAATTTTTGCGTACGAATCACTTTATTTTACGACAAACGAGGCTTTTAGTGAGTAGTTTGTCGTAAAATACAATGCAGCGTATGCAAACACGTTGACGCGCAAATGCACGAAAACGGTCGGCGCGCCGACCGATCGGCCATTGGGTTTCCATGCGGATAGCGATATACCCGCCCGTACCCGCCCGTACCCGTACCCGCTTGCTACCCGGAAGGAATTAGCTACCGTAACCTAAAAAATTGACAGGATATAGTTTTGGGTTACTGTATTTAGCTTCCTTAATTGCGAAATATTGGAATCCAATGATTTCTGAAACTAGAAATTTCTGAATTTCCGAATTTCAGAAGTCATGAATCTCAAAATTTCAGAAAATCAGATTTTCTCAATTTCAGAACTTCAGAATTTCAGAATTTCAGAATTTCAGAATTTCTGAATTTCTGAATTTCGGAATTCCAGAAAATGCAAAAAAAATTGAAAAAAACTCGGATTTTTTTTTCTTCAGAATTTCAGCAAAGCTTCCAAAAATTTGAAATCAAATTTTCAGAAAAATCTGAAAAATAAACACTTGAGTTGTACAAAAAAAATACAAATTGGCTCAAAATATTTTTTTTCAAGGATCAAAATAAGGAGAAAAAAAATTCTTGACAAGAAGAGTCAAGAAAGAAGAAGAAGAATTCTTCTTCTTCTTTCTCAAAAGCTCCGCCCACTTCTTGTCTATTCTTGACACTTTGTCAAGAAGGAAGGACGTCTTCTGATATTGAGAAGAGGGAGGGAGAGGGACAACTTCTCTCTGATTGACTTACACGTCTTCAGAAGACTTCAGAAGACGTCGGGGGGCTTCAGAAGAGACTCTTGTTTTTTGATTGGATTTACAAAGAAGAAGAAGACGTGAAGAAAAATAGAAGAAGAAGTGGTGCGTTATAAGTGATGAATACTATATGGATGCCAAGAATGAGCATGTCTTGATACTTCTGAGCTCTTTATTTGCTCTTTTTTGTTTATGGGAGCTCGGAAAATTTGGAAAAATTGAATATTACAGTAACCCACAGGATGGACCTCAAAAAACCGAAGTTTCTAGATTGTCTGAGAGCTGAGATACAAGCCAACAAAGTTTGCACTGCTAGACACACTGTAAAAACGAGAGAGCGCAGATAACGAGACTCTCTGACTGTCTGCGCCTCTTCAAATTCCAAACGACCATATCTCGACTCTCCGATGAGCTAGAATTATGAAACTTGGACTGTTTTATGTCATTTTTTATGCAGTTTCAAATATATATTTTCGAAAAAATTGAAAATCAAAAATTTTATTAAAAAGGCAATACCGGAAAAATAGAGAAAATTTAAAGCAAACTAGTGAAAGGTAGAAACTCCTTGAATGTCTGAGAATTGAGATACAGTCATTAAGGCTTCCATTCGGTCGGGAAATTTAACCGACCGACCGACCACCGACCCCGCCGACCGACAGCCGACCGAACTGGCCAATTAGGCTTTCCATGACGGGCGGGTAGCGAACGGGTAGCTGCTACCCGCCCGTACCCGTACCCGCCAGCTACCCGCCCGCTTGCCTCCGGTAAGCTAGAAACTTGGTTTTTC